CATCCATATAGATGATCAACCATCCTTCAGCAATCATGTCTCAGAACAAGTCATTCATAAAATGCTGAAAGGTGGCAGGGGAGTTACACAGCCCAAAGAACATAATGGTTGGTTCAAAAAGGCCCTTGTGTGTGATGAACACAGCCTTCCATTGGTCCCCTTCTTTGATATGGACATTATTATAGCCTGATCGTACATCCATTTTTGTAAAGATGGATGCTCCTTTGAGTTTATTGATGAGATCAGAAATGAGGGGAAGCAGGTAGGCATCTTTCACAGTGTTTTTGTTCAGATAGTGGTAGTCCTGGCAGGGCAGAGGGAGCCATCTTTCTTTTCTACAAAGAAGAAGGGTGTGGCCTGAGGGGACTTCAAGGGGCAGATTTTTCCCTCTTGAAGATTTTCTTCAATAAACCTTTCAGCAGACTCTCTTCCAGAGGGAGAGAGTGGGTATGCCTTAGCCACCTTAGGGACAAAGTCCTCAACAAGGTTGATGGCATGATTGTAGGGTCGTGATGGAGGAAGAACTCCATCAGAGGGTTTTTCAAAAACCAAGGCAAATTCTTTGTAGTCTTCTGGAAGGACAGCTTTTGGTTTCTTCTTGTGTTCTTCCTGGGCCAATTCAGTGGCCATGGTGATCTTTCGAAGAAGACTATTGTTCTGATTAATCTTCTTTGCTTCCTCTACAAGTTTTCCAACCGACATCACAAAGTGTGCACTGGATGGTTTCATCTTCTGGTTCTTCATAATCCAGGAACTTGTTTATTCCCTTCTTTTTGGTTGGGGACACCAGGTTTATGACAGGTTCTTTGATTTTGACAAAGGAGATGTTACATCTCAACTCTTTTGACCTGTCAGTCTTTTCATCAATGGAGAGGGTCCCCATTCTCCAGTCAACAACAGGATTGTTTTCCTGAAGCCAAGGGAGACCTAAGATAACATTCTCTGTTCCACAGTTGATGACATGGAAGAAGGCCTGATGGACAATTCCCTTCACTTCAAAATAAAGGGTGGTGGAAAACAGGATTTTTCCCTTTGAGTTCTGGGTTCCATCCACATTCTTTGTGGGGATGGGTTTGGTGAGTCATTGGGTAGGGATTTGATGCTTTTGCATGAACCCCCAGTTGATACAAGAGATCTCCACTCCAGAATCAACTAATGTGGTAGTTTTGATGACTTTTTCAGTTGTTTTTGATGTGTAAAGGGAGACTGGGATTTGCATAGTACGATCTGGAGTAGAAGATACTAGTACAGGTGCAATGAAAACAGGACTGTCCTTGATTCTGGGAACTTCTGGCATCAATGCAGAGTTCCCATTTAAAAATCCTTTCCTAGCATTCTAGCAATGTTTACTAGGGCAATAGATGGGCCAGTGACTTTTTCTTCATCATTGCTTTCTTCAACCTCCACAATCTTGCAGATTTTCATTATTTTCTTCTGGGGAGTTTTCCCTTTATCAGGACATTCTCAGGAGAGATGTCCTTTGTTTCCACAGCCAAAACATTTTCCTTCTTTGATGTGGCGGTCTCTTTCTTCTTTGGAGAGTCTCACTCCATCCACATCCATGGTGTTTGGATCTTTTTCTTTGGCAAGGTTGTTCTTGGGGTAGAATGTCCTCTTTTCTTTCTTTCTGGAAAGTTTGTTTACCTTCCTCCATATCACATCGAACTTTTGTGCTTGGGCATACCACTCAGTGATCTTGGTGGGAGTGGTTTCCATCATGTGAATTCAATTTGCAATGAAAGGTTTGAGTCCTTGTGAGAAGAACTCAATCAATGCAACATCTTCCATGATGGTAGAGTTGGCAGCAGCAGTCTGGAAATCAGTGATGTATTGTTCTACCAATTCTTTTTGTTTCATGGTGCATAGCTTAGTAATAGCTGCACTGGTGGTGTTGGAGGAGGTGAAAGAACTCTCAAAGTCTTTCATAAAATTGGCAAAGGTGCTGAAACTTGGGGGGTTCTTTTCCAGAGAAGTTTTCTGGAAGGTAGCTGCCCAGGAACAAGCAACACCTTTCTTCATATACGACAAGGCATAGACAACCTTTTTGGTGTCATTGTTGCAAATTTCTTTGTTTTCCAAGAGATAGGCCTGTATGGAGTACAGCCAACTCATGGCATTCTTCTGGTCACCATCAAAATCAGATGGGGCACCAATCTTCAATTCAGTGACTTTGGTGGTGATAGTGCAGACCATTGCCTTTGATGATGAACTGGACATCATATTCAGTGGTAGAGGTGGGGGTGTAGGGAAAGTGGTGGCAGGTACTGGTGGGATAGGAGTACCTAGGGTTGCAAGGGACTTGGTACAGAGGTTCAAGAGGATACCAGAGGTAAATCCTCTATCTGGTTGTTTGGGTTCATTGGAGGAGGTGTTGGTGACAGTGCTCTCCTGTTCTTCATCAGATGATGATTCTTCACGAGTGGGTCACAACAGCACCCAATGTTGATTGTTTCGTGGGTTCATGGTGGTGCACTAGACAGTGACCAATTTGGCCAAAGGCTGGTAGACTTGAGCTTTTGTTATGCTCAACCAAAGTCAAGATGTAGGGAGAGCTCAAATGCAGACTATGGTTTCTACTGAGCAAATGGCTGCAGTAACCTCTGTAAATGACAGAGGATATGGGGCAGTGCTGGTAAGAGTGGTCTGGGTTAGGGACACTGAGGGTGAAGTTCTGAGAACACTGCATATGATTGAGCAGCTCAAGTCTGGGTTTCCAGGACTTGAGCTGACAGACTAAATACAGTACAGGGAGCGGTCCATGAGGCGTCTGCATGTAACAAGGTAACTATGCCATTGGTTGAGCAACAATGGCACACATTCTATGCATGTAATGAGAAGATAATGCTAGTGGTGGGGAATAAGGAGCTGTCAGATCAAGGAGAAGACAGCTCAAAAAGGAAAGGCAGTCCATTGGACAGAAACACAAGGTAAATGTCAGGAGAAAAGAGTAACCAAGGGTGAAACATAACATTGTTTCCTGAAAGCACCTTGCAGACATTTCCTTCAAATGTCACCTGGAGACCTCTAGATGTGAGGGATGGAACCAACACCAGATTTGTGTCCAAGGCCAGAACATAGTAGATGTCCCATAGAATAGTTTGTCCACCCCCACTACCAGTCCCCTGCATGTTGAGTTCAATCTGGCCCTTCCCTACTGCCATGATGGATCTCCCATCACTGATAATGACCAGTTGTGATGGGTCCAAGACCCTAAATGTGGTGAACCACCACTGCTGGCAGCACATATGTGCTGATGCACCTGAGTCTACCACCCACTCCAAGGGGCTGGTTTCTGGACCTGTGCATGCCATGAACAGCCAAAGAGCTGGATCCTCAACTACCTGGGTGACCTTTGCTGCAAGATCAGCCTTCTTTTTCAGGCTTGGGCAGTTGTAGCACTTTATCTTCGACTTTTCCTTCCCTTTCCCTTTAGACTTTGACTTTGCACCAGTTCTGGCTGTGAGGGCTGAGTGACCCTGTGAGCCCTGGCATGTCCTCTCCTCTATGAGGACTTGCAAGATTACAGAGTCCACAGTCAACTTGTCATTTGTTGACATGAGAATGGTTCAAAGGACTGAGTATGAAGCAGGTAAGGAGATCACCATTGCAATTGCAACCAGTGACTCATTGAGAGTCTGCCCAAGCAAGTTCAGTATGAGTGCCTTCTGTTGCATTGCATTTAGCTGAGTCTCCATTGGGCTATCATTGACAAGGGTTCCATGAAAAAGTTCTCCAATGAGGTAGGCAATTGTCTGTTTCCCTTTGCCCTTGTACTGTTTGCTAAGGTGCTTCCAGGTCTCCAATGCAGTTTTCACATACATGACCCCACTCAGAGGCTCATCCTTGAGTGTCAGGGTAATCTGCACACTGGCATCCCTATCTTTCATCATCCACTCCACATGCTCATCTGGGTGAGTGGCAGCATCAGGAGCCTTCATGGCTGAGCCACCAACCACCTCCCACAGGCCTCAAATCTTGAGAGCCTTCTGTACATGAAACTTCCACATTTGAAAGTTTCCTCCATCATCTGCAAGCAATGGAATATTATAGAGCCAACTCAAGGGAGCAGCAACCTCGCTAGATGATGACAGAGTAGTGACTGTAGAAGTAGAAGGACCCATCTGAGGACCAACCAAGATAGACAGAGTTGGATTTGACATTGTTTAGCACAACCTTGTAGAACTAGAGAGCAACTGGAATTAAAACTGCAGTGGTTGGAGCTGAGTGGGGCTCATCACCTTCTGAAGGGGTGTTTCTGAGTAGTGACAGACTAACAAGAGAAGATACTAAATAGCTTCAGTAAGATAGCTGTAACTCATAATAAAGGAACCTCACCTCAGGCTTCTATTGGGAGAAGACTGAGGTGCATGAAGGAAAAAACAATGTGCTGAAATGACTGTGCTTATGTAAGATATTACTGATGTAAGAAATATAATTAATGTGCATTAACACATGGATCAGGGAAGGACACAGCCCACATGAGGAGAGCAGGAAGCATTTGTTTTGACCATCTTCTATCCTCTTGCAGCTCTTCAGGCAAGTTTGCATTACAAAACATATGCACCCACAAGTCATGCTGTTGGTCCCCATCAAAAGTGGCTGATGTGATGTGGAACTTGCTAAGGCCAACTCCCTCAATTCTTGAGTCATGGCTTTAGTTCTGTGTTGGCTACTGTCACTGACCTTCACTTTCTTTGCCAGCTGGTCAATTCTGATATTAGTCTGCAACTCAACATAAGTTAGCAACAGCCTTAAGTGAACCAGAGAACATACCATTATAGTAACACTTGGCTCCTTTATGACCTTCACACTTCAGTCAACCTCCTTTGGAGACCCATTGGTCTGGAGATTTTGATAGATATATTAACCTAATAGGTGTCATTTTGTTGGGAATTCCCAACTTTTGGGGATTCTCCACCACCATGCCTGGAGATTCTCCAGAGCAGCAATTTAATATGGTTGGGGAAAATGTTTTCTCCATAATATATATATATTATACATCAAATAAAAGGGTAGCTGGGGTCCACATTGGGCTTTCTCCAGGCTAAATAGACCCCCTTTCCTGGTTGAACCTGGGCTTTCCCCAGGCTCAATAGACCTGCTTTCCAGGTGAATCTGGGCTTTCCCCAGGCTAAATAGACCTGCTTTCTGGGAAGAACAGGGGCTTCCCATAGGCTAAGTAGACCCCTTTCCAGGGTGAACCTGGGTTTTCCCCAGGCTGAATAGACCCACTTTCCCAGGCCATGTCCTGGTGGGGATTCTCCATGCATCAGGAAAACAGTGATTATTCTAACTGTTCTAATCACAACTTATCTCAGAAAGGTAGATGTATAAGTGGAATGGATGCCAAGGAACATGAAGAACAAGTGAATTAAGCAAGACAGATATGGTTCTACAGTGGCTCAAAAAACTGTCCCAATGTTTGTGCAATTGTGACTGATGGGAGTGTAGCTGTAGTATGTCAATGACTAAGAACTGGTCTGAGTGGTTAGTGAGGGAGTTGAAAGCCCATAGTCTGGGCTTTCTAACAAGTCCTAGGTGATGATGGCCAGGTGAAAACTGGTGGAGGTATGACCCTGTTGGTGTGATGACTCATTGGGACAGTTGTTTGAGTTTGAACCCAGTCTGCATAGTTTTGAGTTTAACAAAGTTCAAAATGCTGTGTTGTGCTTACTAATGCTTATGTAATATATCACATGGTCTATTCAAGGATTTGTCAACATACAAACAATGCCAAACAATGAATTGGGACCATCAAGGCTCCCTCTTCTACCACAATTCATGACACTATCCTCCTGGTCCATCTGGGCCATTTTCTCAGAGTAATCTCCATAAATATTGGTGTCCACTACAGTAGTGTCATTGGGGTATATGTACAACGCCATCAAACCCTTAAAAAATCTGCTTTCAGTTATCCCTGTGCTGTTTCCCCCATCCATACCAGAACTCACAAGCTTTGTCCATAATCTGGCAAATGGCTGTCTTATGGACAGGAAGGGTGCTGTTCTTGATTTTAAATAGTAGTCATATGATTTTGTGCTCCTTCATCTTGTAAACTGAATGCTGTGTCTCATCCTTCTCCTTGAGGATCTTGGCAAAGTACTGGACATCCTTGGGCTTGAAAAATGCAAGGCCTGGTAGAAGAGTGACAACAATCTACCTCATAAATGGGAGAATGGTGCCCAGTTCTTTGTCTGTAGGGTAGCAGTTGAGCTTGTCATTATGCATAATTCTGGGGACATTCCAGGACATGGGGGCTTCATGTACAGGGGGGAAATTGGTCCCAGCAAGAGCACACTTGGTGGTTTTGCCCACACAGCTATTTTCCACTGGCATCATGTCCCAATGAGAGCACCTCTCTTTTGGTGCAGTTGTGCAGGCCATGTTGCAGCTGTTGTATATCCCAAGGTAGAGAAAAGTTCAAAGCCAAGAAGTGGGGGAGAAAGTTGAGTTGCATGGCATTCATATCCTCTGGATTCCAACCCTCAAGCTCCAGTTTCATCTGAGTGGTGGGAGCCACACTCCCAAGCTTCAGCTTCACACTCTATGCAGCAATCAATGACCCAACTATTTCATCACCTGATGATCCTATGTACTGCCAATTACTAAATGTTGCTCCAGAGAGGGACATGGCCCAGACATTATGAGCTCCAGCAAATTGTGGATATGACATTGCTGCAAGAACATGTGCCATTGTTCAGGAGTACTGGAATTGTCCACTGCAGGCACCACCAGGCAGTTCTGCAAGTCCAGTGTCACCTGATAAGATGGACATTAGATTCTCAGTAGTGCACAGCAACCAACAAGAACAGAACACATGATAATCTCCCAGGTGGCATACAAGAGTGCCTTTCCTATACTACCTGATCTTCAGTAGAAACATTGACCAACCTGTATTTTCTAATGCAGTGGTAGTTGACAGTGTCAAGGTGGCTCTTACAGTGAGGGACAAAAGTGTTGCAATGTTTGTGAGGTGTGACTTGCTGCTGATGTAGCTCAGGCTATTCTGCACAGATACATCAGTAAATCACTTTTGCTGGCCAGAGCTGTCCAGCACTGGACAGATTCCCTAGGACTGCCAGCACACAAAGTGGTTTACTGATGTAATCATGATACCTATACCATTGGAAAGGGGTGACACTAAGCTTTCCAGAGCACTAATGTTCAGTCCAAACAAAGCAATACATGCCAAGATACACCCTATTCTTTCCAAAAAGTGCATTGCAATGCTTTTGTTCCTGACTGGTGAAAAAGTGAAAAGTGACCTTTTGATGGGATTGAGGGCATGAAGGATGGGAAAATATGTTTACATAATAAACCACATGATCTTCCAGATGATCTGTCAGCATGTAAACAATGACAAGCATTGGACTTGTACCATTAATCCTCCCTCTTTTACCACAACTCCTGAAATCATCTCTCTAGCTCACATGGTCATTTTCTCAAGGAATTCTTATCAAATACTGGTGGCCACCACAGTGCCATCAGTACAACATACTCTCAGAACCATGAGTCCCTTAAAAACCTGCTGGCAGTCATTCCCTGGACTGTTTCCCCCCCATGCCTGACATGTTCTGGGACTAATCAGTACTTGGAAGGCTGAGAATGTTTTGGAGGTCAATCTGACACTTCAGAACATGATGGCCAAACCAGTCCCCTCTCAACCAATGCATTTCTGGCACAGGAACACTGGTATGGAAGTTGGGGTGAGACAAAACCTCCTTGTGCTCTGAGCACCATAAGAGGGTTCACTAGATCATGCTCTGATCTGAACTGTAGATGACTGGGGAAGGATTATTTGGTCATATGTGACCAAAGGCAATATTTAGGGCCAGATGGAAGCACAGGATTCTGCTCCATGGCAGTTCAGTAGCATATCCTTCTGATGACATGCACAGCCTCCCCCTAATGCAATTCCAGTGCACTTTCCCAGTTCCTGACATTACTTGACTCATACTTTGATGTTCTGACTGTCTTTGACTCACCTATTGCCAATACTTACCAATCTTTTGACTTTGCTTACTGATTCTTTGCTTTTTGGCTTGCTAATCCTTGCCAATGCTTTCCAAGATGATTACCCATTGCTTACATTCCTTACTCATCAGTTACCAATCACTTACCAAGTGTTTGCACCTTGTTTTCCAAGGCAAACACCCCTGTACTGTATATAAATCACTGTACTTAGATAGAAAAAAAAAAAGAAGATGTCAGAAAGCCCCTCTTGCTTGCATTTTATCATCACTCAGTAATTCATTCAGAAGCTTCGATAGTTGAGACTTTATTAAGGCTCTAACTATCGTCTACTTCACTTATCCTTGTCTATCATCAATATACTTCACTCCAAGCCCTCCCTGAGCTCAGTGCAGCTTAGGACATCGAATTAAGTCACCATCCATCCTTCTGTAGGCTGGCAGCAGTCTACCCTATCACTTTCTATCGCATTCTTGCTCCCTCTTCATCAGGAGAACCCCCAACCCTCAGCACTTGTCCTTGAGTGTTGCAGCTTGCAAAAACCCACCCAAATCAAAGGTTCTACCATCTAGGTACTGCATAGGCACACCACCACTCACTCTTTTTGTCTTTTGTGTTGGTTTTGGTTGGTTTTCACCACTGAACCACACTTTGACTCACATTGGCCATCAGGGAAAACATGGGTGCCACCTGCTCTGTCCTGTAAAAGGATGTCATAAACCAGGTGCATCTCAATATTACCCAGTCCTCCTCAAGCTGCACAACTACAATATACCTGACTGCGACCATCCCAACCTCAATGTCTATGATGTTGGGCCAGGGAATTCCCAAGTGTACATTGAGCAACTGACATATCTCATCAGCTCACACACCCAGGCCAAGTATGAAAGGAGGTGCCTGAAAATGGGCATCATCGGACCAAGCATCTTGCTTGGCCTCCAGCCACACCTGATTCAAGGTATCCCTGAGGTTTTTTCATCTGAGCTGATGCACCTGAGTGGGGCAAACATGGCTGCACTCTGGGTTGATTTATAGCAGGGCGAATTTTACTGTGTGCCCACCAACAACAAATCTTCATGGTATTGGGCCATTTTTAAGGATAGGGCAACCTGGGAAGCCCATGGCCTTGCCATCACTGCTTGCAAGATGTATCCACCAGGCTCATTCAATGTCACTCCTTGCAACCCTTGTCTTCACACCAATTCCTGGTATAAAGCCACAGAGTACATTACCTGGATTCACAATCTCTGCCTGGCTCTTCTGTACAGAGTTCTCCCTGTCTGTGTCTGGCGCAATTTTTGCAAGTTCGTCACTGGCCTTTGTATTATGTCTCAATACAGCATCACTCCTGCCCAACTTCATCATGCTTCTCAGCTCATATCAGAACAGGCACCAGAATTCAAGTGTATTTTTTACCAGTGTCATGTTGATCACATTCCATTCATTCGTCCTTGTGTTCACCTCACATGTCACGTTCCTTCCAAAGCAGCTCATGTTGGCTCACCCATATGTTCCTCATGGTGGACAATGGAGCATACTATCAGCAATCTTGGCCAAGAGATACAGCAACCATCAGACCCATTCTCCAACCTTGCACAGCAGGGAATCTGCTGTTTCCAAGTGAATGTGCTCAAGGCTATGCTACCTCATCTTGACCCTCCCAAAAATGTCAACCCATGTGCATATGCTGACCTCCATAATGGCTATGTCCTCCTCACCAAATGTGACAAGCATCTCATCGCTCTTCAAGGAGCAGAGGCCCAAATTATCTCAGAGTATCTCAGAGTTCTGCTTGCACCCAGAATCTGATGCTGGGCACACCTTCGTTTGCCCAATGGCCAAATTGCACAGTCCAAGTATCAAGAATTGCAGAAGTCCCCAGATGAAATTCACATGGCTTGGAACATTAAGGTACATGAATTGTAGTTAACTCTCACTGTACATTTACTCATCATATCATAAAAGGTTTTCCTTGATGGCAGAGACTGCATCACAGAAGTCCAGTACTTCACAAGACTCATTGTCAGGGCACCAGGCAACCATTCCAATGATGATGACCTTGATGCCCCTGATAAATTTGAATATGACAACATCACTCTCATCACTCTCTATTCTGATCCCCACCCTCACCTATTCAAGCAATCTTATGGGGTTGTCACTTCCTGTACCAAGCAGGGTGAGCCAAGCTTGCAAGTCATTCTGGTTTCCTCCATTCAGTCAGTTGTTACGATGGTGCCACATCATCCTGTCATACAAGGTATGGTCGAGGAGAGGTATTTCCTGGTGGAGAAGATGGGCATAGACATTGCATGTCTTGGGGTTGAAGAAAATGAGGAGGATTGAGCTTAGCATACATGCACTTCTGTCATTCTGTCCATCTGAAGTATTGTGGAGACAATAAATTTTTGCATTCATATCCTTTCAGCTTGCAAACTACTTGGCAGCCAAAAACACTGGTATTAAAGCATGGTAAACCACAGTAATGTACATTGTCCTCAGTACAAAGTACATAGCAGATGTCCTTGCACAAAGAAAAATGTTCACCAGTAGACACATAGACCTTGCTTACACTGTCACTCTTAGCAACCTCTCCACCAGAACCACTACTGATAGCCTCCAACACAGGCCTCACCACTGCTGGGAATGTCAAAAATGCATCATACATTGCAATGGAGGTGTCAGGAGAGATCTTGCAGAATGCACAAGGGTGATGGGGGGGCCAGTTCTCATTGAAGGTTTTACACTTTACCGGAGGAAATTGGTTTAAAGTCCTGTGAAGTTGAATGGGGACTGTGAGTATGTTTGTCGGTAACATCATGTCGCAAGTCATCTCGTTGTCATCGGAGGTCTCCTCATCAGAAGTATCTTCTGGACTTCCAGACCATAAAGCCTCCTTGGGCCTGCAAAGATAAGAACGCCTCCAGAAGTTACACAAGACTTACCAAATAGCAGCAACCATAATTTTCGCATCACTGTTGCTGGTTAATGCACCTGTAATGGATCTGGTTAGAAATGTTGGCTATATGCATCATGATACCTATGGTACTCCACAATCATGGCTTCATCTTCATCATCAGAGTCAATCTTCACATATTTTTTTGGGTTCTTGAGATGCAGGATTAATTTCTGTAAGATGTCAGTCATGCGATGGGTAGAGTTAGAATAGCTTAAGACATACATGTGGGCCAGGATTTTCTGGTGTGAAGTTAATAACATATGCTGGCCAACCTTGAAGGAGGTTTTCAACCTCGAGTATGATGATGTTTTTGATGATCTTGACAGTGGTGGGAGCCATATGGATAAGAGCAGTAGACAACAAGGTAGTACTAGACTTAGTGCAGGATTTGGCCTTCAGGAGAAGTCACACTGTCAAGTGACAAATAATGATAAACATGGGTGTTCCCTCCACTATCCATGATGTCAACATCCAGCCTTTCAGACAGCCAGGTGTCCCCCCTTTTATGTCTAATTCTCTGCCAGAGCTATATAGTTCCAGTACAAGTGGTCCTAATAACTTTTTTGGGTGCAACAGTGCACAGAGTCCCATGTCTTTTTTGACCCCTAACAACACCTTGTCATGGGCCAACAACTCGTAGATGGCTGGTAATGTGGCAGATCCAGCTGCTTCTTCACTGATGCTCCCTCTTTGATAATGCAGCCCAGCCACATGTTATCCCATAGCCAAGCTTTCCCAGAAATGATACCAAATGTGAGTGCATGTGTGTCTACTGATTTCCTCACATATATGTGGCATAGGCACAGGTTCTGCAAGATATGATCAATAGACTTCAGCAAGAGAATACCACATTGAAGGCAGAATGCACTGCCATGCAGTAAGTTGATTGCCAAGCAAAGATTACTGACATTGTTATCTCTGTCATAGGAACACATACAATACCCTTGTTTCAAGGCTAACATTAAACCAGCCAGACCAGAGTGCTTTATCAGACAGATTTCTCAACATCTCACTGAAATCACCACCAATCACTACAATGCCATTCCTCAATGTACCTCCAGTCCTTCAGCTCAACCAAGCTGACTATCCCAAAGTGTGATACTGGTTCGAGAAGGATTGGAAGGCTATTCATATGACAGTGCAAGGACAAGCATCCTCTGCTATGGCATTTATTGAAGATGCAAATAGACAAGAACTTGTGAGCAAGAAAATTACCAATGTTCTGCAGACCATGTGGAGTATTTGGCATGAGTTCTGTACTCATGGACTCATTGATGCCCAGACTACCTGGATGTTGATGTTGCTGCAAGTCAAGAAGGCATTCTGTGGTGAGCTCATTCAGGTGCTTCCAGAGCTAAACTTTTGTGAAGACTCATGGAAGAGCGACCTCCTTGCTAAGAAGCATTACTCATCTTTCAAATGAACCTGGTTCATGAATAGGATGGATGAAAAAACCAACAGTGCTACCAAGTGCAAGATGAAGAGTGAGGTAGTCAAAGATGCAGACTCACCAACTGGAGTCAGGAATGTTAAGTGCACGAAGATCAATGTATTCACAGCCCCAGACAACAGCAATGATGATGGCCTGCATGCTGACAGTGCTGACATGTCTAGTAGTTCAGTTGATCTGGCTTCTAGCAACTCCATTGGGCCAAGCATATCCAACACAAACAATGCTCCTGGGGTGTTGATATCATCCTCAGAGTCTCTCTCTGCATCTAGCCAATTACTTTTGCAAAATGATCAAGACCATGATGCTCATATGTGACCTGACTGTGCTTGCACACCAGGTGAGATGATATTATGGGATACATCATAAACTAATTTTTTGTTTTCAGGCATGCCTGTCATCCCAGTTGCTCCAACACTGAACACAGTTGAGCAGGAGGATGACACTGGTATCAGTGCAGCTGCACAGCTGATTAAGAACCCCCTGTAAGTAACCTCACATGCATGTATCCTTGCTAACACTGCCTATAGATCCTCTTTGTGTCCACCTCCTGTTGTCAGAGATTTGCCAGAGCCAACCATGACCATATCTGAGTCTGTGTGACTAAATGAAAACTCAAACTTGTCCAACAAGCACATGAGCACTATCGACAAAGGGGAGTCTCAAGCTGAAGCCCCAAGTACAAGTAAGCAATGCCAACTGACCAATATCTGTCCTGGCATGGAGAGTAGGTGTAATGCTGAGCATATCACAACCATCAGCGCAGCAAATGGCCCCACAACCCACAGATGGAATGAAGAAGAAGGCATGGTGTCCTCATTTGAACAAGAGTGGCAGGTACATGTGCCACATTTGTATCTTGTCAGTTGCTAACTATCCCATCAGAACATTGTGCATGCACTGTTATCAGAAACAGGTTGGCAGATCGCTAGAGGAGTTCAACAAGTACTTTGATGAGTTGCCTTCTGAAGTGAAGGCAGTATGTATTCTCCTGATCAAGTAGTTGTTTGGCTACTCTAACTGCCATGCATATACAGAAATACAAAGATGAGGCAAATGATCTGGTATGTGTTGTATACCTGATATAACCACATCTCTCACAAAGAGTCTTGCAGGTAGAGTGCAAGATCTGGATTCACAGGATGGCTGCTGTTGTGGCCAAGTTTTCAGGTGGCACTATGTACTAGGAGGCATGTTTTGGCAGACAGGTGAGCAGGAGCAGCAGGGCAAGGGCAGTGTGGATGAGAGGGAGCACAGGCAGCGCAAGGGTGGGTGGGTGGGCATCATTGCAACTGTACTTCTACATAGCATGGCATAGACAAATGCAATTTGTTAATTCACAAATTTATGGCATCATCTGACATAGATTGTCATAGGACAATCAAGCAGAATAAGAGATGAAAGGCCATCTATGTAGATCTATGGAAAACTATAGGGTAGCTACACATACTGTCAAGTAGCTTGAGCTAGCAAAAAAAGCTATGGAGCTGACCTATTTCATATGTGGGGCAATCTCTATCTATGGCATAGATCTAGCTACATGTACATTGTTCCACATATGTCCAATTCTCACTGAGAGTGAATGTGCAGAGAATTGTAAGTATGACAGTGGATCTCCAGCAGAAGGCTACCTTGTTCCCTTTCCCCATTTGTTGGAAGCCCTTGTGGGAAAACTGGAAGTTCAACCATGATGAATCATGCACTTAGATGTGACATAACTCTTCATAATACCCTGGAGGAAGTAGCAGAAATCAATGGATAAGATACACTGAAAAGCTAACCACATACCTGCATTAGAACTTCACATGGTTGATCATGAGGCAACCTGGAGAAAATTCATAGTAGAAAGGAGAACTTGAGATCAACAATCAGAATCACTGCCCTTGAAGGTAACATTGCACCAAGTCTCTGATACTGTAGAGGAACACACCATGTATTCAATCAGCAGGGATAGATATGAATGGATGTGTTGCTAACTTGAATCTTCAGCAGCCATATCAGCTGATTTTGACCAAATGACCATGGTAATTACCAGAAAAGCAGTTACAGAATTGATGGCAGCTACCACTTCCCAATATAGACAATGCCCCCTGAGTGACAACCTCTGTTGGTGTTTGAAAAAAATTCAGATTGGAATGTTCCCACAGCAGGTTACCCTGTCACAAATATTGATAATTTGCACCTGTACTGTGGCTATACAGATGAGCATGTGACCAGTAGATGTGATGGTCACATGATGAGTGACATAAGCAGGGATGACCCTAGATCACATGATTTTATGTAATTGATTACATGATGGTGATCCTCTGGAGCATTCTGTTACATAATTTATCACATGATCATGGGAATATATGCATGTGACTTAATCAATGTCACATGACAAGGTACAATCATAGATCATCCAACCTATTACATAATGATCACATGTCAGTTTCTCCCCAGAATACTTGGTTATGTAATGGGTCACATGATTGTGAGACAATAGACATGTGACCTGTTACATAATGATCATGTGGCAATAACTCTCCGGACCATTGGCTTATGTAATAGGTCACATGACTGTACTCATCATGTGATCTCACCTCTAGCACTCTGCACATGACTCAATCCATATCACATGACCAGCAATCCCACCCCTATTTGCATGCTGGGCATTTGTGGCTGTGCTAAAAATGCGAATTGTGTCCCCACCCATTCAATTCTTGACATATGGATCTGAATTTGTGTGTGTAGAATAGGCTACCATGTTGCTACACATTGTCAAAGGCACAGGCTGTCTTGTCCAGCAGTTGCTGAGATATAGTGGAAATGAAAATGCTAACAAAACATCACATCATTCATCTTACACATCCTTCATGCCATATCTGACACTTCAGAAGGGTTGGACACATGCATATCAATTCATAGACAATGTTTGGTGTCACCCCACTCAGATGTTGATGTGATACTCACTGCAAATGGTCAAAAATGTGAAACAGTACACTTGACTCATTGAGACAATAGGAGATTTATGCCAGTGCAAGGTCAACACCACTACCCCATTGCACACATTTTCGCAATTTTGACATGTTTAAGTGGATATCTCACCAGGCACATGGTGCCAACATGGTAGGCCATATTGCTGCATTCCTCACCCAAAGTCTGGGGTTGGCAGGGTCACTGTGATGTGTGCAAATCCACATTTTTGATATGTTTTCAAAATCTCCATAAGTTATTTTGGGACTTTTTCCCACTTTCCCACACTCTTGAATCTTTGTTTTGCATCTTGCTCTCTCACATCTGAGTGGGGTGACACCAAACATTGTCTATGAATTGATATGCATGTGTCCAACCCTTCTGAAGTGTCAGATATGGCATGAAGGATGTGTAAGATGAATGATGTGATGTTTTGTTAGCATTTTCATTTCCACTATATCTCAGCAACTGCTGGACAAGACAGCCTGTGCCTTTGACAATGTGTAGCAACATGGTAGCCTATTCTACACACACAAATTCAGATCCATATGTCAAGAATTGAATGGGTGGGGACACAATTCGCATTTTTAGCACAGCCACAAATGCCCAGCATGCAAATAGGGGTGGGATTGCTGGTCATGTGATATGGATTGAGTCATGTGCAGAGTGCTAGAGGTGAGATCACATGATGAGTACAGTCATGTGACCTATTACATAAGCCAATGGTCCGGAGAGTTATTGCCACATGATCATTATGTAACAGGTCACATGTCTATTGTCTCACAATCATGTGACCCATTACATAACCAAGTATTCTGGGGAGAAACTGACATGTGATCATTATGTAATAGGTTGGATGATCTATGATTGTACCTTGTCATGTGACATTGATTAAGTCACATGCATATATTCCCATGATCATGTGATAAATTATGTAACAGAATGCTCCAGAGGATCACCATCATGTAATCAATTACATAAAATCATGTGATCTAGGGTCATCCCTGCTTATGTCACTCATCATGTGACCATCACATCTACTGGTCACATGCTCATCTGTATAGCCACAGTACAGGTGCAAATTATCAATATTTGTGACAGGGTAACCTGCTGTGGGAACATTCCAATCTGAATTTTTTTCAAACACCAACAGAGGTTGTCACTCAGGGGGCATTGTCTATATTGGGAAGTGGTAGCTGCCATCAATTCTGTAACTGCTTTTCTGGTAATTACCATGGTCATTTGGTCAAAATCAGCTGATATGGCTGCTGAAGATTCAAGTTAGCAACACATCCATTCATATCTATCCCTGCTGATTGAATACATGGTGTGTTCCTCTACAGTATCAGAGACTTGGTGCAATGTTACCTTCAAGGGCAGTGATTCTGATTGTTGATCTCAAGTTCTCCTTTCTACTATGAATTTTCTCCAGGTTGCCTCATGATCAACCATGTGAAGTTCTAATGCAGGTATGTGGTTAGCTTTTCAGTGTATCTTATCCATTGATTTCTGCTACTTCCTCCAGGGTATTATGAAGAGTTATGTCACATCTAAGTGCATGATTCATCATGGTTGAACTTCCAGTTTTCCCACAAGGGCTTCCAACAAATGGGGAAAGGGAACAAGGTAGCCTTCTGCTGGAGATCCACTGTCATACTTACAATTCTCTGCACATTCACTCTCAGTGAGAATTGGACATATGTGGAACAATGTACATGTAGCTAGATCTATGCCATAGATAGAGATTGCCCCACATATGAAATAGGTCAGCTCCATAGCTTTTTTTGCTAGCTCAAGCTACTTGACAGTATGTGTAGCTACCCTATAGTTTTCCATAGATCTACATAGATGGCCTTTCATCTCTTATTCTGCTTGATTGTCCTATGACAATCTATGTCAGATGATGCCATAAATTTGTGAATTAACAAATTGCATTTGTCTATGCCATGCTATGTAGAAGTACAGTTGCAATGATGCCCACCCACCTGCCCTTGTGCTGCCATCAATTCTGTAACTGCTTTTCTGGTAACTACCACAATGCTTGGTCAAAGTCAGCAGACTCTGGTGTCTTCAGGACTAAAAGGTGAGGGGAAAATTGCACTATTGTCTATGCAATCAATCACTGAATCTGTACCAAGGGTAGATGAGTGGGGAGACAAGGGCATCACTATAGAAGGCATATACTGGCCAGGTGGAATGATGGAGGGCAGCTGGAGGTGGGGAGAATGATGGACCTAGTACACATAGTATGCACTGGTAAATGGGTCAGTAGACTGTGAAGCATAATGACACATAACTCAAGTCAAAAGCACTAACCCACAAAACCTTCACTAACATTGCTGAAAGATGAGGGTCAGTCTTTACTGTTGTTGTGTGATTGATTGTCAGATCCACCAGACACCAAGACCGCCCTTGAAGGCTCCAAGCCTTCAAGGCTGTCAAGGGCACCAAGCCCCTGACATATGGTAGAAGAATGCACTGAGCATTCCCCTAATACCATGTGGACAGTGTACAGAAGACGAGTGTCACTAAGTACTAGCTGTGGGTGGTGTGAATGTTTGTTTCAGCTGTGATGATGTAACAATTGTGCAATTGTGAAATGACATGTTAAAATTCTGTCATTCATCGAAACTTTAGTCACATCAGTAAAAGTGGCCAAATCTATTAACAAAGTAGCAATGGCACACTAGTACTTGTAACTAGGACTTGCTATGAGTAGCTTATCAACATGTCATTACTGTAATGCACAAACACATCTCCTGCAAATATTACAATAGGCAGTTGCCTAGACTCAATGTCTTCCTCAAGCACACTGTAAGTCAGGTGTTGCATTCATTTGTGGTGCAAGTCATGTGCACAGCAGTACCCATAATATTTCTCACTACTACTAGTAAGTGCTACCTACTACTTCAAGTTGCTGATGCCCCTCCATATAAACCAATTCAGTGCAAGGGAAGTTTCCCTCTATCTTTTCCATCTTACTTTTCCAGACAGCCCAGTTGCTCTTTCCATGAACATTTGGAGCATTTGTCTGTCAGGTCTTGGGGGTTTGGTGCCCACAAGTTCTTGATAGGCTTGGGGCCTATCAAGAGTTATCCTTGCAGTTTCTGGGGTGTTTCTTCGTCGACGTTCAGGCATTAACATAGTCTATATGCATGCAGAGTCAATACACCAATCATCATTACCTCTTTGTCAAGAAGACATTTTTTGAAAGTAAGTTTTTATTCTCTTTCATTCATACTTTTCTTTCAAACATCCAGTCAACTTATGCTGTACTTGGAGCCAAATGTTCAGAGCATTTGTCTGCCAAGTGCTCTGGGGTTTAGTGCCTTGTGAGTTCTCAGTAGGCTTGGGGCCTATTGTGGGCAACATTCTCATTTCATTTCAGTTACACTGGCCTTAATGCTGCATGATTCATTTTTTTCTCCCCTCATCATCATCTCTGTCAATTTAAGTAAGTACTGACTGACTTCTTTTGTTTCCAGGATGAATGTAGCTAGTGTTCACCCTTATGAATTGTCATTGTGCAACTGCCCTGGCAATGGTGCATTCTTGCTGTCCCTAACTCAGCTCAAATTGATTATCATTATTTTCAGGGAGATGGGGTGCATTCAATGTGCACATCCTAGCAAAGTGTGACAACCACTGGATCACATCACTGAATGCTGACTATGTTCCCCAACCCTCCATCTTCAATGGAGAAACAATCACACCCCTATGTGATGGATAGTTCGGCCATATAGACTGTTCAATGGCCACAGTTGTTCGCAGAATGCTACACATGGAATCCATGTATCCCCTGGAAAGTGGCCTATGGAGATGACCCAACATGGAAGTGGCTGTGGTGGAATGTTACCCAGTCAGTGGAGGATTTTGTGCTGGAAAGAGGGTCTGCCTTCAAAGTTGGCAGGATTCATGCCAACAAGTGGAAGTCAATGGAGACCATTTATAATTGACTAAACAAACATTTGCAAGATTGGCTAAAGAAGCACCCCCACTATGAAGGTCCTCTGAGACCTGATTCATGGCTGGGGTCATGTTGGTGATGTCTCCTGTGTCTGAAGGTATGATCTTTTCTGGTTCAGATTTCATTAATTAAAATTTTCTCTAGCAACTCCCATCCACATTTTAAGACACAGTCATATTGGTCACTTTTTGTCAACACCTCCTCCTAGACATCTTTGGCATGGTAGAATATCTGGACACAGACCTCAACCCTGCTATGGGCACTTTTGTTGATTCATTTGACTGCTGGATCAGGGCATTCACAACAGACCCTGACATTTGCCAGCACCTTTTCAAAATACACATGCCTGTCTGGATGGTCTGGAAACCTGATTGTGTACCCCCAGACATGCAAGTATTGAAGACCATTGAGATTACACACCCTCATGACATAGTCATGGATCCTGAGGTTTTTGAGGTCAGGCAGATGCTGAAATGGCACAGCACCTGGTACCACCCTGGTGAATTGTGCCACAGGCACACTCAACAAGGCCTGGCAATTGGGCTCGAGCAATTTGTGGCTCCCTGGCCAGAACCACCACACACCAGCAGTGGTGTGGCCTTGACTCCAACAAGCATGGGTCCCACAGCTTCCAATGCTGCAAGTTCCAGTGGTGCAAGTTCAAGTACAGGAGCTGTTAGGACAGGCAGGGCTTGACAATGTAATCAGCTGTGTATGTATCCTATTCATTTTGTCTCAGTGTGTTTAACATTTTGCTCAGATCCCCCTGTGGGCTCGAGAGGAGCCAAGCCATTGGTCATTCTGGATCCCAAACTGTGAGAAGACCTCAGCAATCCAGCTATTCCCCCTGCTATGTCCACACGGCATGCTGCCCTGAAGGACATGAGTAAGGATGCAAAAAGGGTTAGTCCCAATGTGCCCATGGTAGCTTACTTCTTTCCCAGCCCAAGTCTGTTTGTGAGGGGCAAGTCCTCTGATTGCCAGCAGAGGTACCTGAGGAATTGGCTAGTCTCTCAAGTGGGTTGGGTCACTTGTCTTTCTGCCTCAGACATGTCTCCTGTTATCCCTTGGTCCTGGCAGGATTTCCTGAACACAATTCCCAAGCAGATTTCATCCACATTTTCCAGTGACCAACTATGTGAATCTGCCGCCCTCTTCAGTCCTGAGCTTGTCAGCCTCCAACATGACATACCTAGCCATGTACAATTCTGGGATATTTCAATTTCCCTTGCAGACCTTGCTACCATTGATCAGATGATGAAAAGCAAGATTTTATGGGATTTATATGAACACAACTTCTGGTTTGAGTTGGTTGCTCTTGACTGTGCAATGATGCCTAGCTTGTGGTCAAATCAGGATTCAGAGCAGCTTGATCATGTCTGGCAGGTATGTACAATTTTACCTCACCAGGAATGTGCTATTTCTGAACTCTATGCAGATTTTCCCTGGTGACTCAGAACTCACCATGTGTGCTGAGCCTTTCCCTCAGCAAAATCAAGGCCTCAGCTTGTCCAACTTTCAATCGAAATGGGAGTACATAGAGAAGCTCCAGGCATTACTTGCTGTATGGCCAGGATGCCCCTTGGACTTGGTGGAGCCAATTATGCCATTAGCATCATTGTCATGTGTCTGGGCAATGGAAAAGAAGTTGGCTATATTTTATGTACAGTCATTCTTTGATACTTTTGGTCCTCTGCCCCTTCTTCCCTGCCTTATTCCAACTGCACCATGTGGTTACAGTTCAAATAGTCAGTAACCTCCTTCATCATTCCCTGATACCATTTTTACTTTGTATGTTTCCCAAACAATATTCATAGCACACCACAATTGCAATCTCATTTTGTTCATTGCACACTTGCTCCATCTCTTTCCCCATCACCCTCACTAGTCATGTGCAAAGGTCAGTTCACTTTTCTATGCTGGAGGCTAACTATTGGAGACATGCTGGTGGCATCTTGGGGTTGCCTTCCAGCAACCAGGATTCGGTGTCCTGGTCACAGTCCTGTAACTTGGTGTTGCAGGATCATCATCTACCACTAACTTGCCTAGACAGTTTATGCATCTGACTGAACTTCATAGATGTCTTTTCATCGACCAAAACAGCTCACTAGGCATGGTCCCTCTGTATGAGTTACTGCCCTGATGAACCAGATTCCTGACTCGCTCCATGTGGATGATCTTGTGGTCCTTGTTGACCATCAGACTGCTGAACCTTCATGCCATGTTCCTGGAACTGTGGGGCTTTACCTTCCTGTTGAGTGCTTGCTCACCTTACCTGGCCATCATTCTTTCACACAACACCCCAGTGATTCCTCTGACCCACACATCCAACACCACTCTGCTTCAAGCACTGCTTGCCCATTAGAGCCTTCTGTGGGTAGTGAATGTGACCTCTTCCATGATGCCACTTTTGACTGCTTAATCGATGGGCTACATATTAGCCAAGACCCACTCTTGTCACCATCTAGGAATGCCTGAAAAAAAATGAAGCAGTGGCAGCAGTGGTTGCACACTGTCATCCCTTCCCTCCTTCAGCCATACCTTGCATATCAATGACTATCCAACCACTTCTGGAATCCTGTTGACTATGAACTGCCAACATGTGGTTGTCACCAGACTTGAAAACTGACAGTCATTTGCATTGATTTCAATGGTGAGATTTCTGTGTTCTTCATCATTTTCCTCTGCTTAGATGCATTCATGGCAGCTCTGCAATCAGTTGATCTGGCTGTCTGTCCTTGTGCACCTGCAGCCCTCCAACTCCTTTGGATGGGCTACTTCCCCTGTGCCCCACTGGGCCAACACTTGCTGTTAGCCTACAGCTTCTTGGCTTTGTCTGACAACTCTTCATGCACATACCTCCAAACACTTCAGCATGGTGTGAGTCCCTTGAGGCATACCTTGCAGCTATGGGTTATGAGGTGGACACAAAGGCATGGAATTGTCATGTTTTGTATCATTACCCCATTTTTTCCACTTCATAAAACATACATTACTGCCATAGTGACTGTAGTACAGATGACTCTGCTATGTAGGTAGTATATCTTAATCTGATGCATGACTATTTCATGGTTATAAGTGCATGCATGTGTGACATGTTCTGTTTCTTGGGACTGCTGTAGTGTTATATTGATAGGGTAGGATGTTTGTTGGTATTGTTTGTGGTGATGTTGCTATATTATTAATGCATACTTTGGTTGTTCTTCTCAGTCATGGATCATTGCTGATGATACTTGCAGGAGGGTATATGCCAGAGGTTCAGTAATGCATATCACTGGTATTGTATTCTGGAAACATCCCTTGATGAATATGTCCAACAACAACTGCAAGAATCTGCTAGTACACCATCAAACATCCCCTCTGCAATCCCATTGCCAAGTTCCCCAGACAATGATGTCCTCAGTTCAAAGATGAGGCCATCAGAATCCCTATGACAGTGCCGTCCTCTATGCTTTGGTGGCCAGAGCTGGCAGAGAAATAATAGTGAACATGGGTATGTCACTTGGTGGATATAGTTTTGTCAACTGCTAAAATTTCCTTTGTTCTAGCTTTTCTGATGTTGATGCAATTGTTTACATTGATGCTTGTTTTACTCAGAAGCACAGAAGCAGGCATCCAGATGATCCAGTAAACCCTACAGCTACAGTCTTTCTTTCACAAGAAGATATTTGTGCTATGGAGCATGAGGTTAATGAGTTGCAAAAGTCAAAGTCTTCAACCCAAAGGAGGAGTGGACAGGCTTTGAAAAAGAATTGTCTTGGTGATGGGGAGGATGAGTTTGAAGAGGGAATGAGGATAACAATGTCAGTGCTGAAGGGTTGTAATGGGTCCTTTACTGCAGCTGATGAGAGGTGCCAGAAAGTGAGTCTTCATCATTTATTCTGACTCCATTGGTCTGATGGCAGTGTAGGAAAGTACCCAGTTCTTTTCAGATACTGGTGTCATGGCCCTACTCTGTCATCATGATTATGTCATTTACCTTGCAAATATGACTTCAGCTGGAGAGAGGCAACATTATGCACTTGCCCTCATCAAATCTCTTTTTGGCCATCTCCCAGATAATTTTCATATTGGGCTGTTATATGACATAGGTTGTCAACTGGAACAGAGCTGCAGGAAGTGGGGTTTTCTCAAGTCATTTCTGCCATGTATTTCTTTTGCCATCTCAGTATTTCATGCCTTTGGTCATCAGTGGGCATGTCAGCTTATCTATCACCCCTGAAAATGTGAAGGATTTGGGCTATCTGATGGAGAGGGATGTGAGTGTTTTTGGAGTTCAATCAAAGGGCTGATACCATCTCTTTGTGTTTCTGGGGTATGTGTGCAGTATGCCACATCTGTTTCAAGCTAACATATTATTCAGTATCATCAACACCTCTTTGTTATTGACTTCCAGGTGTGCCACCTGGACATGAAGAGTCTCACTGGTTTGGGCCAGTGGCTTTTGTGTCGCTGGAATCATTGCCAAAAAAAGAAGGCTGCTGCAAACAGAGCCTAAGGAGATGTGGAGTTGATATCCCAACTCTTCAAGCTGAATGGGTTGCTCAAGTCTCTGCACAGACAAAGCCAGCTCCTCATAAGCTGCTGATATAAATAATGACTCCTGCTCACCATCAAATTAGGTCACAGCTCTAAAGCTGCTGAGAATATGATATTTGCAAATCATGGCAACTCAGAAGTCATTGGCAAATTATGAGGCCAAGCTAGAAGTGCTGGAGAAAGATCTTCTCCATGGGGTTGCTGACATGACAAGCTTGACTATCCAAATTGCAGAGTGTCATCAAAAGGTTAAGTGTTTTAAAGATGCTTTGCAGAACCAGAGGGCAACCCTAGGCATAAATGGGCATTCAAATCTCGCTAGTATCCAAAAGAGTGCTTATCTTCAAGTTAGTGGCAGTGTATTTTCTACATGGTTTCATCTAATTGAGACCATGTTCCATAGCTTCACATGCATGCATTAGCAATCAAGAAATGTATCAGAGATTGTCTGTGCCAACAAAAGTTTGAGTTGGAAAGACTGGAATGCTCATATTGGCAGACTCTCAGTGGTAAGAGGTCATTGTTCATGAATACCCTTGTATTTGACTTGCCTTGAAGAACAAAGACTTCAAAACCACACAGAAGCATCTGTGAAGCAACAAGAACCAGGAATAGCCAAGCTTGCCAGTAGCTACAATAATCTGTGTCTGCAAATTGTAGGCCTCATACACAAGGGAAAAGCTCCTCAGGGGTCAATAGCCCCACTCCTGATCCCAAGGGACTCTTTGTTCAAACTGGATGTGGGTGATGATATTTGGCAGGATATTGGCCTTGGGGATGATTCAGATGGGTTACTACCCCCATGGTTAGCTGATGAAAAAGTGTGCTCAGGGATCAGATCACTCCTTGAGCTGAGGCATTGTGAAGAAGAGGAAAGGCACCCATTGCAGGAAAGAAGAGCTTTGACAGAGTGGTTTTCTGAAGAGTGGGGTCATGTGCAGAAAACCAGACAGAGTGCTGGTAAGAGACATGTGTCATTGCATTACCATGACTAACACACATTGCAGATGTTCACAGAAATCTATAGCAAGATCTCAGTCGAGTGTGCGAGCGGCAAACGTCTATATTCACATTACCTATAGCAAGATCTAAGGTAACGACGTGAGCGCAAAGTACACGAACATGGGAACAAGACACTATACCCACCTCAGTCGAGTGTGTGAGCGGCAAACGTCTGAGGTGGTGTTACTACAGTAACGAGTTAAATACACTATACGAAACAAAAGGGTGAGACACAGGTGTTGAACCTGGTATTGAAACTACAAGCACGGTCATAGTGCGAGTGCTTGTACCATTAATTATACATATGAAACATTTGGAGACAATAAACCAAAAATTACTGTGCTGTATTGTCAGTGCTCGAAACAACTAAGTACAGTGGTCTTGTAGACCTGTAAATGGGAAGTGTTTCCCACGGTAAGGAAAAGTAGCATCAATTAGTGAATGAAGGCTATGAGCGACTTGCCAAATCTAACACTCCCCCTCAAGTCGGGCATAGGCTGAGTTCAACCATGAAATGTTTCACCTTTGGAGACAGTAGCGCCTTCGTTAGCGTATCGGCGATCATGTCTGCAGTCAGGCAATATATGAGGCAAATTTTGCTGTTTTCTACGACCCAGCGAATGAAGTGAAAACGGATATCGATGTGTTTGGTGCATGCGTGATACTGATGGTCTTTAGTGAGCACGATGGCTGATTGATTATCGGAAAACAACATGGTTGGCTCAATGAATGGCTGAAAAAGCTCTCCGATGAGCGACCGAAGCCACAAGGCCTCCTTGGCTGCATGTGTGGCTGCCACGTACTCACTCTCAGTCGTTGAGAGTGAGACGATTTCCTGTCTTTTAGAAGACCACGACACTGCTCCACCGTCTATTAGAAAAGCATACCCTGAGACTGCTCTGCAGTCTTCTGCCATGCTGCCGTCTGCATCTGCGTACCTGGTCAACATACTTGGTGATCCCCCATACATGAGTTGTAAGCCTTTTGTCCCAAGAAGGTACCGATAAATTCTCTTTACAGCTTCCCAATGAGCAACTCCAGGGTTGCCTGAGAAACATGAGACAGTCATTACGGCGTATGAGATGTCGGGACGAGTGGCAAGGGAGGCATACATGAGCGATCCTACGGCTTCACAATAGGGTACATGGCGCATCATAGTGAATTCAGCACCAGTTGATGGCGACTGCCCAGAATGCAGTTTGGTACTGGGTTCCA